GACTGCGAACAGGCGAGCCCGCTGCTAACCGCATCAAATCGTCAGAAAGTTCTCTTTAGTCACGGCCAGAGGCCCCCGTTCTCTTCAACGTATGCTTAGACACTGTCTAATTGACTCGTTTAACCGGCCACTTCTCCACTTTCCTCCGTCCAATACGCTGCCTCCAATTTCCACGTTGTACTTCCGCTTGTTACACGCGACCAAAGCTGTAATTAGGCGTTTCTTCAGAAATTTAACGCGAGTAGGTACCATTAACCAGTTGATTTTCTCGGAACGATAGCTGCACTGAAACGTCGAACGTCTGTACGGCCGCTTAATTACGCTGAATTTCATTAACGTTGCAAGACACCGACGAGCTACCGATCGCGTGAACGCTGCACAACTTTGGAATCGGGCACCGTCTTCCAGGACATAACTTTATTATCGCGATGTTTAATGCAAGACGCGAGAACGTTGCGAGCTTTCCAAGAAATAACCGAGAAAGATACGATCGCTGTACGGTTCGCCAGCGTGCACGGAAACATAGGTCCTCGGTGTCAGAACCAAGGTGCAAATCGACAAGGAAATTATTATTATATATATGTGTGTAATTTATATGTGAAAAATTCCAAGTACAAAGCCGACAGTATATACAGAATTTTCTATTTGAAATTAGTTTTAATTTCTTCGAGTCTTAAGGTCTTAAAATATCTATAATCGTAGGTATCGGTTTATCGTTCGATGGAAATTATCATTTAAGAAACTTTTTCGATTTTGTACTAACAATCGAATCTGAGGAGAACATACAGAAGTTTGCTATAGACACTTTGGATGGAGACTTTTTGGTCCACGATATGGCTTTGCTTGAAGTTACTTTCGCAATGAATCATTCGAATCAACTTCGAACCGTAAAACGGGATAAATGTCACTTTACCGTCATCGACGATGTAGCAAACATTCCTACGACGCGTTAAGAATGTTTCAAGCCATCTCTTAAAACAGTGTCGCGTATAATTCTCGAAAATTATCTCGCGAAACCATCCGCAAGAGAGTGCAAACTAACACCTCGTTGTAGTTCTATTTTACGACGAACTATTTCCCAGATCGCTTTCAAGCGGATAATAAAGTTCATAGAAACACAGTTCACGCGACATTTCCAAAATCACCTGCTAAAAGGATCCCAAAAAGACGGGCAAAAATAATCGTCCTCCGAATTACCCTCTCGCCTGATTTCCAACGAACCATCCGAGAAATCCATCAACATCCTCGCCACCTGACGTCCGCCGCTCTACGTTCCAAGAATCCTAGACGAATCCTGGCAACATCCCCCAGTTGTTGTCTAGGATAATCGGACAGGCGGTCTGCGCTCTAAATCAATCTCTTTTGCTAAATAATAAGCATCGAGTTAAGGGCAGAAAGAGGCTGAAGACGAGGTGGACGACGCTGCACGACGATCACGGATAATTACACGCGCGGAAATTGCGGCTGGCCCAATCTGCGTCCGGTGGTCTACGTCTCAATACACGCGCGCTTCTTTCCCCCCTTGGTCCCTCTTCGCCCCTCCTCTTTCCACCACGTTCGTTCCTGACCTGTACCAGTGGCCAACCACACGCACCGTACAACTTGACGAGGAAATAGGCGCGAGAAGGACGACGAAAAAGAGAGAGAGAGAGAGAGAGAGAGAGAGAGAGAGAGAGGAAAAGAAACACAGTGAAGCGGCATAATGCCCAGGGTGCTGCAGGGCCCAGAGAACTCCGGGCCTCTCTCCCCCTCCATAAGTATAGGGCTCGCTTAACGATGTTTGTTTTATACATTGGCAGCCTGTTCACCGAACCTGTAATCTTTCTAAACGAGATATTACCCGGGCCCGTCCGCGAAAAACGAAGCTGCCCGCTCGCTACAGCTATAGAACTCGGCGTTCTCTCCTCCGGGTATCGAACTGGCGAAATTGGCCCACCAAAGCCACAAATTGTTCGCCATTCAAGACTACGCTCTGCATAGATAGAAAGAAAAAGAGAGAGACTCGTGTTCGGCATCCGGACACGGGAGGTGAACTTAGTTCGGTTGTGAGAGTCCTTGGAAATTTCTGGAGCGAGCGATCAGCGGACATGGTCGTTCCGGGGACATGAGGTCGGTGAATGGATTGGAAGTTTAGGGGATCGTGACATCCTCGTGGCCTCGGTGTAGAGTTTCGTGCAAGACATTCTACAGAATGCGAAATTTATGTCGCAGCGGAAAGTTGTGGGATAAGTTCGAAGTGGTAAATTAGTTCAGTGGTTGAAACATTGGGAAAATTAAAATTGAGGGTCCGAGTGTTTGGAAATCTTGTACAGTTCCTATAGCAGAAATCTTTGAAAATTTATCGAGAAATAGTGGTTAGAAGAATGGGCTTGATGTTCAGGAGATAGGAGGATCTTAGTGTTTTTGGTGTGAAGTTTCATGCAGGAGGTTTTTTATAAACTCTACATTGGAAGAAGAAACTGTACAATTTGGTAAATTAGTTCGGAGGTTGGAAAATTGGAGACTAAAATTGACAAGGTTTCTTTTTAAATCTTGGAGACCCGGGGCGTCCAAGCGTTTGCGAAATTCTGCGAAATTTCTGTAATACGAGAATTTCTGTAATTTTAGAAACGTCGATTAGAAGAAATCTTCAAAAATGCAAAGCAAGCTCGATGAACGACTTCGAAGATTGGAGAATACATTCGTCGAAGTTTTTGGAGCTTCGTCAGAGTTGGAATATTCAAATGTTTGAAAATCTTGCGTAAAGAACCTCGACGAAATATAAAATTCATGTCACGATGAATGAATTATCATAGGAATAATATGAGCTATACTATATAGCGAATATATTAATGATATTTACATATACAATTAATGTATTATACATTATATAGTATTACTCAAGAAATTAGAGATTAAAAAGAAAGAGATTACTCAAAAAATACGTGAAATTGAAATTCTATATATATATAATTCTATATATAATTATATATACATATTCTATATGATTCTATATATGAGTACACGTTTATTAGTTACATAACTGCACAGTTATGAATATACGCAATGTATCGTAGAACCAGTTGGCGGAACTACAATTTTCTAAAGCGTTAACTTGCCCGAAATCAATGCACCTAAAAATTCACGAGCCTAAATATTCCCTTAACTTAGCTTTTGTTTTTAACTCCCGCGCAATATTTGAAACGGGTAATTTGAAATTCAAAGGTGCGGTAATTATTGAAATCGCAGGGAAAAAGAAGAAAACTACAGACGTAGGAGAGGAGAGGTTAGAGGTAGAAGAAACGATAACAGAACTAACAAATGCGACCGTGGTATATAGTCGTGAGTTGGAATCACGATCCAGATACACACGCGCGTATTGTACGGCGTATGGTTCTTTCCCGAACTATTATAGTTCGCCTAGATATCTGTCCCCGTGTTTTCCATCGCTCTCGAAACTACCCCTTTTACGTATTTCTCCCCTTCGTAAAAGTTTGCGCTTGAAAGGATTTCCGATCGTCGAAGGACTGGGGAAAGTGTGCGCCGACCATAGAGGCTTTGAATCTTTAAAACGCGATGAAACGTGGTTCAGGACGGGGTATAGTCCGAGCAAATCGTGTGATTGGTAGATCGAGACAAGCTAGATTTTACGCTCTACTCTAGCCTAGATGAAGATTTCAATAGTAAATTAATTATTAGTAGGATTTCGATACATTTATGCGACACTTAACGAGGCAAGAACGCGCAGGATGCACGTGATGCGAAGGAAAAAGCACAAAATTTAAAGTAGACGAAAGAAATCTTCGATGTTCTACGAATTAACGGTTTGATTTAGATAGAAATTTCTTGCTTGGAAAAACTTCGAAGATAGTGGAAAAATCTCGCCCTTACTCCACTGATGTAAATCGATTAATTTTACAAAATATACGCAATTAATGAAAATTTTGCTTATCACGATCCAATAGTTTATGAATTAATCTTTGAAATTGGGATTGAACCTTCTTCGAAAATGCGCATCTTTGGCAGGCAAAGAAAAATAGCTGCTCTGTTTGCGAATTTGCGAACGAAACAGGCCAAGAGCCGATCAACGCGATTTTCTGCGGTTTCTCGTGGCGACTTCTCGTGTTTCGCCTGGCAATCCGTCATTTTTCTCACGACTCTTGCCTTACGCAGCTACCTTCCGTCACGAGGGACAGCGATCGGTAAGTCTGGCTCAACAAAATCGCGACACATCGTCCAAATTAAGTCAAATCGCGGAAAAAGCGCGACGAGTACATTTTTGTCCACTCGACTTGCCAAAGAAACTTGATATCTTATAAATTTCGAAGAAAGTGGAAAAGTACGTGTTTAGTTTTAAAATCAATTAAAAGAACAATTTTGATAATTTCAAGAATGATTGACAGAGAACTGTACTTTAAAACTGCTATTTTATGAAAAATGGAAAATCTCGCTTATCGCGTTTCTTATATGTACCCTTTAAATATAATGTCGTAAAATTTGTAATGTCTTCTATCTTTCTACCAGGTATATCGAGATTGAATTTTGCTTGGCCAATTTAAAATATTAGAATTTCTAGAAATACACACTGGCTCACATGTTCACAGCTAACAAACGCAGGAACACGCTCCCTCTATTCGATGATTACAACAACCAAATCGATTCCAAGAGTTCAATCATTAATGGATAACTACCGCCTATTGTCATTCGGAACAACAAGTAATCAAGTGAATCAAAGAAATACATACTATAATTGGATAGAAACCTCAAATAAGAATATAGAGCACATTTTCATCAAAGTTGATTTAACGATAAAACATGATCCTTCAGTCGATCGTTTCAGATATACACGGTCGCAGATATTTTGTTGCAAAGTGATATAATGCTGAACACGCGAAGCGCGTTAGGTATGAAATTTATGCAACAGCGTAACATACGAACCATCGCTTCTTCTAAAAACGAATTAAATGTTCTTTAGACGCTCACTCGAGGTTCCCATTTAATCCAACAAAACGAACACTTACCGGCCGCTTTTGGTGATGACCATTTCCGTGCCGAGTTTATGGAATTTTTCCCAGAGTTCCTTGCCCTCGAGGGTTACCTTAGGATCATCCACGACACCGTCTTCCTCAGGATGATGAGGAGGTACGAGGGGATGGTGAGGCCCTGCGAGGGGGTGATGCGGTGCCAGAGGGTGTGGCGAGGTGTGCAACATCCCCGGGGGTAAGGGAGGCCTGAGTGGCCTCATCGCAGGCCCACCAGGACCACCCTGATGATGGTGGTGCAACGCTGCCGCCGCGGCCGCCAGGACAGCTGCTTCTTCGGGCGTATGTGGGCCTAAGCCTAAACCTGAAACAAGATTTTTCTTGTTAGTTTTGAATATCGAGGTGCGTACATATTTTTAATGCAGTTCAATTAACTTCGTATCAGAAATTTTTAGGTAAATTCATCGGGGATTATATTATATTGTTAGTTTAAATTTTTTATTTATATATAGCATTTCTTCTTGGAGAAACAGCCTTTAGATCCACATAGTCTACTTCGTATGGCATAATAAATTTTTGAAACTAGCACGGATCGAATGTGATTGAATTAAAGGAGATATTACAAAAAATTGTATGTATTAGATTTTAGAATAGAAGCGTGTTCTGCATCTATTCTGTATTTGTTGACCTTTAATGGGATTAATTGATTAAATCAATGGATACGTAGTTAGAAATGCGATGATTCTCTTACAACCTCTTTTGGTTTCATTGAACGAATTGGACTAGAACGATGTATTGGAAAAAATGTTACTATTCTTGGTATAAGCTCTGAAGAATTAGGTGAATTTCATTACTAGATACAGATACCGCATGTAGCAGAATATACTACTTTTTTAAAGGTTCTTTCAACTAAATTCCAACTATAATTCCAACTTCTTTCTTGATTTATTTCTATTCAACTAATATCATGGTAACATATATATTTCTGTTCTCAGTGTTCCAATTTCCCTCCAGTTTCTTTCATCGTCAGGCTTAAATTTGGTTCAAATACACGTACTACTTTATTCTTCGTTTCCATACTCTTAATTATTCGATAATCGTCTTAACGTCAAAGAAATACCATGCTCTTTTTTCCCATCAGCTGTTTTTGTAGATTCGTATGTAGAAAATTCCGAGAATTAATTCTGGTCGTTTCGATAATTGCCTGGTACAGATCCGATGGTGAAAGTGGAACTGCATGAGATTAAAATACCGAGAGAACCCCGAAAATGATTTATTTTATCGCGGCAACTGTTAAATAACTGTAATGCACGGGACGATAAACTTTATCTTCCGCTCTGGCCGCCGTGAATCGACAACAATATGCGACCGTGAGTGCCGGTTTGATAATGCACATTTGCAATTCCCTCGGTTGTTTAATTAAAATATTATTAGCGTTTAATTACGACCGAATTAATACCATCGCAAAAATAACAATAACGTATCACTTTTCGCTCTCGTTCGACGAGCGTAAACCCTCCATGGAAAAATATCCTGCGCGGAACGTTTGTTCGCTGGTGACCTCCGTTTCATCATCGAAGAACGTAAAATTAACTTTTTATTATGACCTAATTTTAACAATCACCGAATCTATCTCGGTATTCAAACGAAACTGAACTTCAGGTTTAAAGTACTAGATAATAATATACATCTAGGTTTGAAAATGCAATCAGCGAGACCTGAAAATTAATCAGAGCTGATTAAAATGTACTGTAACATTTATTAAGGAAAATTGAATTTCATAATATCAATGAATTTAATAATTTGATGATAATATCTACCATTAGATATGAAAGAATATAATCTCGGTTATGTTCAAACTGTTTCTCTAACGAATCGGAATAATTTTTGCAACCTCGTTTCATCGCTAATCGTGTAATTAACTTAAGTAACACACTGAACTAATAATCGTATAATGCGCGACATCGTGTGGCAAAAATACAAATCTGAGAAGAATCGTCAATGCTACAAATATCAGAAGTTTGTGTCGGATAAATATCGAACGATGTTCGCGTTCCGAGGTTTCTTTCTCAAAGAATCGAAGGGGAGAATCGAAGACGTGGTTTCCATCGCGATCGATGCGATCGATACGAGAGAAGGGCAATTGGCTGGAACAGAGATTGCTCTATTGACCCTCGAACGCGTCAGCTCTATTTTTAAGGTGCTGCGTATATGTTGAAAGAATTGCGAAGAAGCGTTCGCGAGCCGCTCGCGATTTCCCTCCAAAGGAAGGAAGGAAAAGAGAAGAGAGAAACGAATGTACCTTCCGGCAACTTTCAAACTTCTTGCAACAGAGCAGCCAGAGGGCACGAGAACAGGGGCTGGAAAAAGTAACCAGTAGTTTGAACGGGGGTTGGAAACTGTCAGCCGATCCACCCTCGCCAACTTTAAGCGGCTGTCTTTCATTCTTTATCCCTTGATCTCGTTGATTCTTGAATCTCTGAGTCCCGTGTCACCGATCGTGTCTCAATTGCCACGATTATTGCAAAATCCTCTTTTCTAAACTGTGGATTCTTTGACAAAGCGGAACGTTGTCTAGTAACTTTGACTTTCTTCAGGTTCTTTTGCCATTGTTGAACAGAGTACGGTGAAATATTCGAGTTGATAGATTTTTTAGTTGATCATGAGTAATATTAATTTTGCTAAGATTCTACCGTGATCTTCGAGATCGAGGTTCAACCTTGAACAAATATGGTGAACAATATATATATATATTACACATTGTGTATATTACATATATGTATTGTATATATGAATATGGTGGATATATAATATATAATCCTCCAATATATTGTACATAGATCTTACGATTTGAACGTGTACTAAAAAAACACTGGACAAGTATCGTGTAAAATAGAAAAAATAACGTTTGAGTAAATAGCGCACACCTCCGAAGGAATTAATTTTAATCTTTTTTTAATAGAACCCACTATTTAATCACGCAATTAGCTAAATGTTTTCAGTTACTCATCGCGTTATATCCTATTATAGCAATGTTTGCACAAATCGAAGTTATATTATTATATCGTCTAATTTATCGTTCTATGATAAAAGTAGCATGGAAGTGGACGCGAGATCTTCATAAATTCGTCGGTTCCCTTTCAAGTAAATTAAGAATCAATTACATGCGACACTTAAGATAAGCAAAGAAGATGCGATCGACTTTGAAATTCCTATTAGCGGTATCATCCATTCGCTTAGTTTATCGATATCTTCTTCCCAAATGAGATTACCAGTCCCAATTAAACAGATTGCCGTTTATTTTAGAATTAATAATCGCTACGCTAACACACACACACAAAAAAAAAGAGGAAAAGAAAAAAATCGTTGGCAATTTTTACCAACAAACAATCTGCATGGGAAAGAGAACCTTCTATCCGACCATCGACCGCTTTTTCATGCGAACAATTTCATTATTTACAGCAGCCTATCCTTCGATTCCCAACATGTTTTCTCTACTTCCAACCAATCACGAACTACCTGTTGCACCAGGGGCAAAAAAAGAAAAAAAGAAAATAACCAGCACTTTCGTTCGCAAAAATTTCGTTCGACCTCCGACCGGTTACAAAACTACACTTTGGTCTAAAAAAAAAAAGATGGATGTTAACTACCATACAACCTACACTTTTGTTTTATTCTATTCCATTCTATGAAACGATACACCGTCATCTTCTTTGTTCCAACAATTCTACTTTTTGAAAGAGTAGATCGTCGATTATCGTTAGAATGTTAATCACAAAAATATAGGCAATTAGTAACGTATTTATTAAAAATTATATATGTATATTTCCCGATTTAAATTTTCGATTTCAATTAAGAAATTACTATAGAATTTGTTATATAACATGTCGTATATATACAAATATAATATGATATAGTCTGTATAATATAGGGAATAATAAAACGCAATAAATTCAAGTAATACGAACATCCGTATTTGAAAATCGTACCATAACTTGTTAACTAGAATTTTCCAGATCAATTGCGCGAGAATGGCTTATTCAAATGGACTCGTCACTTTATTAGTTCGAATAATCGACATTTTATCCTCTTTAAGTACTATAATTTGCAAATTTTGTTTTCATCGCATTCATCCAACCTCTGATATATCCTATAAATAAATAAATAAATAAAAACAAAGAGAGAGATAAATTGCTAATTACATGTCTACCTAAACGAAAATGATATTTCATTCCCAAACTTTCTGACGTTTCTATTCTTCTTTATTTTTATTCGCCAATAAAATCCCGAAATTATTCATAAAAATTGCAAATTACAGACTTTAAAAGAAAGAATATTCTGAACTTTTTCACCGTTCTTTTTTTTTTTAATCTTTATTCACCGATGCAATTTTGGTACATCGAAATTGCAAATTACTCTATTTCCTTAGAGCAAAGAAAATGATTCTTTCATTAGTCCTGTTTCTCAACTTTTTCAACGTCTCTGTTCTTCTAAATTTTTACATATCAAACCAATTATCAACAAATTACCATCTCCACCAAATCAGCTTAACGATTCGCGTTTACGAAGTTTTCCTTTGCGGTGACTTTTTATCCACGATTTTAAATGAATGTAGGTACTTGACCGAGCCGGCTGCGAATTATCATTCATAACGATGCAAATCACGATTATATTATTTATGACTAATGACGCGGTTAATAGTTAACAACACGGACACGGCTCCCGGTATTTTCTTTCCGTTTCAATCAATTACCGAGCGCGACGGGGAAAAATGCAAACCTGTTGCCACCGTTAATGACTTCATGATTGTTATCATACAAAGTCTGCACGAGCCGATCATTAACTCCATACTGTTTATCTGTCTCGTATACCGTTCCTTCGTGCATCTCGTGTTCTTAATGTTCACCGCCGTTCTCCTTCATACTTTTTACGTACAATGAGCTTCGATTTTATTATAGTCGAAGGAATAAAAATTAAAGTCGCTATTTGCATTCTAGAATTTTACACAATCGAAATTAATACATTGTTCAATAGACGGGCAAAATGTTAACAACCTTAAAATCAATCGACTCTTTTTAATAACCTTTGATCTTTACCTGTCACTTACCATGCCAAAGACATTTCTACTTTTAAGAAAAAATGGCAATTATAAGATTTAAGCGACGCCTTTGATTCTTACATATTCGATAAAAAAGGAAAAGTAAAATCTAAAGTCGTGATTTCAATCCCAGCATCATCACTGAAAAACTGGGCAGGTAATCTGGTTGAAAGTAAAAGCGTAAAATTTGAAGTTTCAAAGTATAGGAAATTTCGTGATATTTCTCGCGTGGTTAAAATTGTTAAAATTCGCAGTGGCCGCATATT